CCCAGTGTAGAGTAGCAGGCTAGAGCAAGCTAAGCCTCAGGCCGACCTCTCTGCCTTTCTGTAAATAAACCTATCCCTCTCTCTAACTCTGTTTTGGAATCCACGGTTTTTCAACAGGACTTTAATGATATTCAAAGAAAGTTTGCATATATTTAAAAATAGTCATCATGCATGTGGTAAGCCAGGGCCCACCTTCTCAAAAAAAAAAAAGTGATAGAACTACTTTTTCCGTAGTGTAAATTCTGATATATCTTGTTCATATTGTATAAACCTGGTGTTGAAATCAAGGACTATAGGGCAGAATTAGGGACATGCACACTTGGTGGTAATTGTTAGATGCAAGTTTAGCATACATCCTCCCTAACTATTCCTCATGCTTAGTTGGACCATAATGAAATACCAAGTACTCTAAATTGTTAACACTTTCGTAGCAACTCGGCGACACCATTTTTTCAAAAGGCTCATGAACCTGACAACATTTGCCCGCAGATATTTATTTATTTGCATACCCTAAGGGCCCAGAAGGCATTACATAGGGGGGAATTCATAAGAAATGAAATACCATCCCATTTCAGGTATACAGCAATGGAGAAAGAAAAACTAGAATACAGTGCAGAAACAATAACATTTCACAAATAACGATAACATCTGGATTTTTTTAGGTTTGTTCAGTTTCTGGAATAAACAGATGTGTGCCCATGTGGGCTTTCTCTATCAATATTACGAATAATTAAGAGAGACTGCAAGCTTTTAAAAACTCAATTAAAGCCATCTTTTCAGTTTCTGCATTTCTTGTTTCTGTGGGTTCCTAAAACATTTGAGGGAGTACTTGTCATGCTTTCACAACTGTGGTTGGATGAGAAAGCTATACTTTTGGCAGTGCTGCCAACAGCTTGTGAAACGGAGTTCTTTTAACACATAGTTCATGTTCCTATGCTTCAACATGCACGCCATGCCGAGACCCAGGGATACTTGAAACGCGCATTACATTCCGCACATGTAAAACTGAGCAAAATGAAAGGCATGTGATAAAGCTTCATGGCCCCAGTGCATCAAACAGAACAACACTGCGATTATTCAAATATTATAAACAGTTTTAAGCTTGATTGCAAAGAGACTCGAGCAGTTCCCACACAGCTCTTGTTTTATTCCTGCAAGTAAAACTCACGGGGTCATATGCATATCTACCAGGGGGGCAAGAGGGGCTCTAGCCCGCTCACTGAGAAAATTTTGGAAGTCATTACTGTCGGCTGCACAGTCTGTCAACTGAGGCGAAATTTTACTTCTGCCAAGTAAACTCTTCATTATACCATGAAACTTGCCCCGCTACTTTACTGCGGAGATTGCCTACAGTGTCTCACGCTTGTTGATACGCCCTAGCGACGCAGAGAAGAAGCGCGTTGCCGAGTCTTGACGCCAATCAACTTTTTGTTCGTTCAACTCAGGAACCAGTTCTCCTTTCCTCTCCCTTTCCACAGCTTTGTTAGCAGTGGAGAGAGAAGGCATGTCCGCAACACGCCGACAGTGCCACGTGCTGCGTCCTGGCACCTTCAGGCACTGAGCTGTGCTCCCGACTGGGCTGCAGAAGTTAGGTGCCTTTCTCGTCTTCTAAACAACCACTCCCACACTAATGAGTTCACTATTTGAGCAGAGCTTTCCTCGAACACAGCCACTCAATGTACGACAAATGAACCACACCCGGAGTCTCGGTCCCGCTGCCGAAGCGGTAGCCATATTGTATTTTTTTTATTTTCAGAGTGTGCAAGACAGACGCATACACGTGAGGAACACAGGAGAAAGAACACTTGGAATGAGCTCGGTGGTCAAAGGGGGCACCCAAGGGTAGAGCGACCGCGCATGCGCACGAGCGCGGCTGCGAATTTTATTGTGCCAGGCTTACTTTCCACGCGCGCATTTCGCTCGACTCGAAACATTAACTTTTTCCAAAGAATTCCGTTTCCCTATATGAAGGCCTAATTTCCAGCTCTGCATTCTACACACGAGGGCTCACCATGGCTTTAGAGAGGAAGTTCATCGTTATCGCCACTATGCTGCCAGATATCGGAGGCCACATGTTAGTTTCCAACTCGTTTTAGCATGTGCTTTGATCTTCTTGCCATGTGGCAGCTAGCGAACATGGACAGAATTTTTCTCACCATCTCGCAAATTTGCAATGTGCAAGTGCGGTAGTCAGATATTGGTACCATGTTCATCACAAACTTGTGCCATGATAAAGTTGTGGCTTTCGGTGCACACCACTCCTATCAAAGTCACGGGAGGGAGTTCAGAACTCATTCAGTGCTTACAGATCTTTGTTCCGAACATGTTTCACGATTGGTAAAGCAGGAACATGGGACCAATAATCGCATTTCTCAATTAGACATGACCACAGCAGTGAAGATAGTTGACCAGGCTAGATACATTGGCGTTCATCATCTTGGCACTTTGAACCAAACTCTGTGGTTAAATCAGAGCTTCCGAGGCAGCGAACATGACAATACGGCGATATATTGATAGGCGTCCAGCATCTGGGCATTTTGAGACAAGCTAGAGCAGCCAACATTGTGACGTGCGCATGCGCGTCCTCTGGCAAACGGGGCCCGGCCCGTAGCGGACAGACAACTAAGACAAAGAGATTGAACAGTATAGGTGGGCATGGCAACAGTCCAGTGTGGTGGTGGCCTCCCGCATCAAGAGCGGTTCAAAAAGGCAAGACGACAAAGAATGCAAATATCCATGACAGCAGGCTGAATCAAAGCGGTGCACGTCGCTGAGCACACACGAGTAGAAGGGCAAGGAAAAGAAATAATACGATAGAGACAATACACTTCTTCACGCACACACACCGTCAACATTATTACACATCCACAGCAGGAGAGACGGGCCGTGTTCCGTCATAACAGTCCCCCCCCTCGCAAATATTTCAACACTGCCCCGATTCATCTTCAAACTAGCTACATAATGGGCGACTCTACATTCAAAAACAGCCAAAAAAATGCCATCCCCGCCAAAGGCTAAGGGTGCGTGAGCTCGTAGCTTGCGAAGAAGGCGACCTGAAGGGCAAGAAAATGGGAGAAGGTGTGGATGTGGAGGCGGTCGTGAGGTCAATGTGCTGAGAATGGAGGGCCATCATTTTGGGTTGGCAAGAGAACACAACCGCGAAATGAATGGCCGAGAAAAATATATATATATCTAAACAAAATATGATAAACATGTCAACAAGATATAACGGCAACGAAACGATTCAAATGTATACAGAGAGACAAATGCAGCCCCACGCACGCACGCCGAGTGGAGCTATGTGCTTGTGCAAGCTGCTGCTACTGCTGATACTGGCTCGAATAAATTATTTTAAAAACAACGCACCACAGTGGTAGTTGCCCGCAATAGCTCCATATGTGCGCAAGGCTAAAAAAAAGAAAACTCACGAAGACATCCAAGTGCAAAATCAAATGCTGCCTGCGACTTGCATTTTTGGGGGCAGATCCCGATGCACCCAAATGCCGTCGAAGGTTTCGGCAGTCGTGCCTCCAGTGCCTTCTCATGCGCAGTACTACCTATGGCTTTATGCCTTCACGTTGCCTTTGTGCAACAAGAAAACAAAACAATGCTGACCCTCAGCTCACCATATCATGCATGTTGCTCCAGCCTTCTAGTGCTGATTTAAACGGCTTCACTGTTGGTCACATTATAGAATAGGCAATGCTATTCTACAAGAGAGACTCTTTAACGACACCGAAGAAAATAAAGCCCCAACACCAATGACACCAACGGCAGCGTAAAGCCCCTTAATCTTCAGAGGGGCTTTATGATGCCATAGAGGAGCTTTACAACAGCAGTGTTTACGGTGCCATCTTGCTAGACTTTACTGTGTGTTGCACGTACAGCTGGCGCAAGGATAGACAACTGTACGATGAAACTCAATGTGGTTGTCACAATCCCCTATAACTTTTCGACTGCTTTGAAGATTCGGCAAAAGTTCAAATAGAGCAACGTAAAGCAAACTGTACTGCACTGGTACTCCAAAAACAAGAGGACAAGTTCTTCATCTGACTAGAGAACCTCGTCATTTAGTTTAAAGTCGCAAAACGACCTTTAAACTAAATGAAGAGAAAATAAATTTAGGCATCCCAGATGACTGAATCATTTATATGAAGTTCCTTATTCAACATTTGAAATCATGTCGGCACTGAGCTGCCAAACCACTCAAGCAAACACTTTGTCACACGCTCTACCATCTGGCATTCTAGCATAAAAAGAGTCTTGGACAGCAAGAGAGCAACACATTGCCATGCGAAAACTGCCAGTTAGCATGGTGGTGGCCCCCCTAAGCTCGATTAATATTTCTCCAAGGACAACATAATACATGCTAGCCAAGATGACCATTGATCATACCAGCAAAAATTTCGTTAATCTAATAGGCAATTCTAGACCATTTCCGGTGTTTATCAAGACACCGGAAATGGTCTAGAATCCCGGTGTTTATCAAGACACCGGAAAGAGCATATCGGCATGCAACACATTGCATGCCGATATGCTCTTTCCCGAAGCAGCCGACAGCATGCCGCAACGACCTCAACAAAAGTTCTATCAATGAGACATCGTTCTTTCCACTCAACGGACGGGTGTGCACCGAGATGCTCCCTGCATTCAGCTGCATCGAGTTGGCAGTGTCTGCCACAGAGGCGTGAATTTCGGGCAGAAGCAAAAAGCGAAGGCGTGCAAAGGCTCGCACCCCAAGCAAAGCAGACTTGTATCTTGCGACTGTACCAGGCTTCATACTCTAATTCCCTAAAGGCAGTAAATGTTGCTATGCGACTAAGATGACCCTGAGAGCATGCCACTCTTCGCACTTGCGACAACTGTTTGGAACGCAGCCCACCTTTTTATAAACTGCTTTCTTTTTTCTCCTCTCTCAAGTAACACACAAAGACGGGGACAATCTGCTAGTGCCACAATAATTTTTCTCTCCCGCGGTAACCATTCACAACATCCGGCACTGGTGCACGACCGAAACGCGACAATATTTATTTGTACAAGACATGAAGGGTTGCTTTTATCACTGCCTGCGGATCTAGATGGTATGGTATCCCATACGTCGTACAGCACTGCCATTTCTATAGACTGCACAGAGTCTAATGAGCGTAATCAGCCTCCTCGCATTCCCAACTCAATGCAGTAAAACCGTGATCGTTTGGAACACCAGAACGGCGAGTACAGTGAAAGACCACAGCATGCCCATCGGAACTGCTGAGCAGTGCACCAGTACAGCACATAAAAACAGTCCATCTTTTAAGAGATGCACTTATGTCTATTGAACACTGACGCATCTCAGAAACTTTAATGAGGGTGTGAATTAATCTAAACTTTGCTTAAATGTAGAGTTTTTATGTCCTTGCCATAAGAGAACAGGTTTACTTCATTTTATTTAATTGCGATTACTACCTTCATGGCACGACCCATGAGCACTTTGCCTGGCTTGACACAGCCTACTACAATGTCTCCGAATGGGGAGCAAGATCAAATATACAATATACCTTCAGTTTCCCACAGCAAACCAACAAAGGACAAGAAGGCATCGAGCAGGTTGCACAATCATCACTACTCTTCGAATGAAGCAAAAACATCGGAAGTGCATCATATTTTTATGGGACACTTGAGAAAAAAAGACCCTTCGGTGCAAAGAATACTGGTAGCGTCCCCAAACGTAACGACCTATGCACTATGCGCAGTTCGATCCGAAGCAAACAATATTCATGAGGTGTAAAAATGCTAATCAACCTCTTCAAGAAGCATGGCCGTGACGAGATGGCACCACTGAGCAAGCTTAAAATGCCTTAAGTGAGGCGAGGTAGCTGCACACCAAACCTCCAGAGGACCATGGTCGATAGAACACTGAGCTCTGTATTAGCAATGCCCTCTGGTGACAAAGCAAGAGGAGGAGGGGTCGTATTGCAACACAACTTTAACAAAAAGTTTGCCTGTATTTTTAACAGACACCACTTCAATAAGGACCAGCCCGACTAAAGCCCGATTTACACAGCTGTCACACCCTGAACAGTGTCACCGTTGTTCACCAGCGTTTGTATTATGTTGCATTTTCGTTCCATATTTTGGTGAAAAAGGGGATGCTGCTGATGTAACTGCATCAGTCAACGAACTCGCGCACCATTTTTGAGAAGAAAAAGAAAAGATCACGCTGTATCGTGAAGGGCACCGATTGTCGTGATGTTGACGTGACTGAGCATTGGGCAGCCGTGTGAATCGAGCCTGAGGTCCATCCCAACACCATGGTCCTATGGGCGACGTATGGACAGGCAGTATGTCGCCACCACAATAGGCTTAAAAAAAGGTCAGACAAAAACTATTACAAAGGTATTTTGATGGCAAAGACTGTACCATGTCCCCCTCTCTGCGGGGTCCTAAGTGGGGAGGAACACCGTTGCAGCCTGCTCTGGCAGTTCATCCCCGAGACAGAGCTCTCCTTTGGCCTAACCATGGAAGCACGCGAACCAAACTTTTGCAATGCGCTCACTCGCCTCTCTTAAAATTCACCGCATTGTAAGAGTAACAACAATATTATTAGTGACGAGACAATCGCCAGCTGCCCCGGCGCTTTCTCGCTGCTCTGTCTTGCGTGCCAGTGCCATGACGGCTCACTCTGTTGACGTTGTTGACCCATGAGAAAAGAGCGGCACGAATGCCGACGCCATGCCACAGAGCCTTTAACACCGCTGCCGGCGCTCCGGCGACACTCGGCGCGCTCCTCGTTTATTGCGGCGGCAGCAGTGGCCGCTGCAGGGAGCAGGGCTGCGCAAGCCCCGACCGACTAGTTAACAGGGATATAGGTGGGGTGGGGGAAAGGTGACGAGGAATAGGAGGAGGGAGAGAGGGAATGGCAAATTTAGGGTCGTGTTTGGGGTCATCATCGGAGGTCGGCCACGTTGACCTTGGCACCAAAGGCCTGGACCATCTGCTCCTCGTACTGGTCAATGTTGCGCATCATAATCTCCTTGCAGGGCCCCAGGAGCCGCTCGAAGGCCGAGACGTCGAGAAAGGCGAGCTTGACGGGCCCCACAGCATACACCGTGGCGGCACGGGGTTTCTTGGTCAGCAGTGCCAGCTCTGCACGAGACGTAGCTGTGTCGGGCATGGCAATACGGGCAACGGCACATGACATCCCCGTCCCACCAAAAGGACGGCAACCATGAAGGGCATCATAGACTGCAGACTGTGCAAAAGGTTATTTCTGTACAGAGAAAACCTTAATCAATCGTTTTCAGTTGATAAACTGTACTCCGAGAACATTACTGTTGTTCATTTCACCACTACAGATGTGTTTATAGAGGAAAAAAAATAAAAATCAAAGTTTCAATTTGAAATTTATCGCTGGAATTTCTATGTTCGACATCACAGATGTATCGCTAGTTAAAAATCAGCTCGTCTTCATTACTCTTAATAACGAGTGCAAAACAAATTATACTATTCTTACATAGTAATTTTATTTCTCATCCCAACTTCACCATGTGACTAGTCAATAAACACACTCAAATCTCGTTATAATGTAATGAGATATAACAAAATAATTGATATACAAAGTAAATGAAATTTCCTTTGAAAGCTCTATTGAGAACCAAACCTCATTTCAAACCTCATTGTAATGAAGTAAAATTGACCGGTAAATTGATATAACAAACTAAATTAGACTATCAAACAGTCTGTAAAAAAATTGGCCCCATATCTGCATGTTTCACCTGCAAATGTCATCGAAAGACCATAGTCTTGTGTGTGGAAGAGAGTGAACAGAACGTTTATTTGATGTTCTGCGCGAGAAGATCGGTGAATTGTATTTTGGAAGCGCTGTGTTAGAGAGTCTCGATCCGTGCTGCGAACGCGAACGAGTGCATCGAGGCACGTTAGACACGAGCCCTATCTGGCAGTCATTTTCGAAAACGAAGGAAGGCATGCGCACCCACAGAAAAAGATGCACGCCTGTCTCGGAGGCGATAAGTGTAGATCGCAGAGCGACGGGCAGGTAGCACCACCGTGTCGTCTTAGCAAAGCGTTGGAAACCCTTGACTTTTGGAGCATGGCGTTGCACTGTCAGCACAATGTGATAAACGCTACGGTCCTTAGAATTACTCAAGTATGCCTTTTCTAGTATAAAGACACACACGCAGAATATTGGCGTGTTATTATGCCTGACGGTACCAAGTGGGCGCGGCCCACCTCGATCTGAAAAGACTGGGCTTCAGGACACATATAAAGTTTTGTGAATGAATGAATGAATGAATTATGGTGCCTCACATACACGCAATAATTGCTTTTTATTCGACAATCACACAAGTATGAATGCTGAAACCTGAGCAATATTGGTGGGCACTGCAGATGGGGTTGGCTGTTTGTAGTATCATTTAGTGTCGTTTATGGGTATTTTTACGGTAGACAAACAGACAAATGTACAGACAGGCAGACAGACAGATCAAAATTTTGGCGTCGAAGGTCCCCAAGAAAGACTGTCGTCTTTACAAACCGGCCGTAGTTTTCTACGGTCGTTTTCTATATATCCTTTGTATATATTGTTTTCTATATCGTTTTCTACGGTGATTTGATGCTCGTTCAGTGTGGCTCTTTCAAACTCCCCCGCCGTTCTTACAGCCATGCCATGCGTGGCCGAGGGAGCCCTCCTCCTCACACAGCCAGCGGAGAGGATTGAGGAAGTGCTCAGCAGGTCACATGACTGAGAAGCAACACCTCGGTGCAAAGCGATTTCCCTCTCACTATAAGAACACACAACGAGGAAGCTTCAGAAGACTTACATTTATTCACAAATCAGAGGACATTCGTCATTAATTGAAGTAATCGGTGATGCGCATCTGTACATGTTTGCCTCGCAGCGAGTCAATTTTGTACGTAGTTTGCAAAGCATAGTAGCGCGGGGCTAAGTCCAGCGCCAACACTCTCTAATGACGATGGCAACGACTGCGTCTCCGCTGCTACCCTCTTCACCGAGAAAGGAGGACTCTTCCGCCACAGCTTTCTTTTCCTTTTTTCCTCTCTCTCCACACGCGACCTTGAAAGGAGAAGGGTCTCTACGTGCAGAGATAGGAAAAGGGAGAAGCGTGGCACAGGCGCATCGCAGATCGGCATTTAAAAAATGGCAAACAATCTGCCACAGTTTTTTCTTTCTTTTTCTTCTTTTCCTCCTTCGCCTGCAGCTTTGGAAGGTGCCGCCGCGGGATCGGGCATGGTGCTGAGAGCATTTCAGAGTGCGGTTGTTCGAATTAACCGCCGCAAGTACTTGCGTGTTCGAATTGGAGGGCGTTTTCACTCATTAGAATACACATAACTTTGATGGGACCACAGCGTTAGTTCGAATTAACCGGAAGTTCGAATTGAGCGTGTTCGAATTAATGAGATTCAACTGTGTTCATTTTCCGTCGCATGCGTGGTCGCGTGGCGGTGCATCAGGGCCACGAGGCGCTTTCCTTCTTTGCATGCTTATTGGTGTGTGCCCATCTGGGCCATACATTGCCACAGACTGTTATAATCGATATAACGAAATAATAAATATAACGAAATAATTGTGGCTTCCCTTCAACTTCGTTACAAGGTTTGAGTGTAGTACCAACAAAAACTGAGGATGATTTCAAATCACAATTTTAAATTGAACAATGGTAACACCCAGAAAGAGCCCAGGGTGCCGTCCACTGTTTACTGGGGTTTCTAGGTTGTTTTTTTTTATCTTATGACAAGCAATTGATTATTTGCACTAAATAAGATGTTCTAGCAGTGCAGCCAGTTTTACAACTTGTTGTAAGGTGAGAAGTTAGCTTAATATATGTCATATCACGTGTTGCGTATGTCTGCAAAATGTGGGATTCACGTGAAGAGATCCCGAAATCTTGTAGAGATGTCATTCTGAAAAGTGTGGCAGTCTAAATGAGGCACTGCGAATGGCTGCACAGTCAAATCACCTTATATTCAGTCATTCTCAACATATAGAGCAGTTTTCACATCTCTTTGAATGCATGCATCTCCAAACGCACGCCTCTGAATATAGATTTCTTGCAAGCTCCAACACTGCCAATTCTTGTGAAATCAAGTGCAATATAAGCATATTGTATAACAACGTTTTACATTTGTATTTTTACATTGCAAACAATGCAACATTCCTTACACTGAGCACATGTGTGCACAGCAAACAAGTGATGAATCCAGGTGTGGTACCTGCGGTGAGAAAGCATTTGGGAGATCGCGGAGGACTCACCTCCAAAGTAGCCGCCCTTGCCGATCCTCGATACCTCCGTCTCGTTTCCACCCTGCGAAAAGACGCGACAATTTCTTCAAAGATATGTACACAGCGATCAGTCTAGTTCACACGCCCTCTCCTCTTTCCTTCTCTCTTTCCTCCCAAATATTACCGCCATGTTAGGCAGCAGCGGAGTTCAGGCTTTTGCGAATGATAAATTTTAGATTCGATCAAAAAAAAATAGCAATTTGGTTCAAATAACTTCGAATCGAATTCAAATAGTATGTATCACACATTATAAAGATAAATGCACACATTTGTCATGACCCAAATAACCTGCACAACATTTTTAATTGAAACAAGGCATGAGTAAATGTTATTCTTTTTACAATTCGAAAGAAATGCAAGCAACTTTAAATAGCAGGATTTTACTTTTGGCATGTGACAACATATAAAATATGATAGACTTGAACATTTACTACACTTAGAGTATATAAGCTAGTATAACAAGCATTTTACCTTGAAGAAAGGAAGAATCAATGCAGGGTAATATGTTTAACCTTAAAGCGGGGCTTTGCAGCAGTGCAGATTTTTTTTTTTGTAGAGGTGTAATCACAGAAAAGCACCTCTTCACTGCAGTGAAACCACCTTCACAAAAAGGGGGGTAACATGAACTAATATACGCCTGTTTGTGTATTTCAAATAATTTAGAATTTGCAAATTCATGAATTCAAATCAAAGCCAATTAGAATACGTTATTATTCATTCAAACATTCGGAGTGCTCCAATAGTCGTGCAAGCAAATGTTTTTGTAAGGTACAGCTGTAAGCGGCATGAGACCAAGTGCAGCTGAGATTTCACTGGCTCAAAGAACTATTGCTCTTTCAGCATGTGTCAGTCAACTCAGAACGATGGCAATAATGAAGGCACTTACAGAAAGAGAGCAGTGAGATCAAAGTACCCCTCAGTAAACCACACTGAAAATTACGAATGCAAGCAACTATTATTGGGTTAGAGCATAAGAAATAATCAAGGCTCCTCCCATAAAACCATAGTACGTACAAAAGACTTTGTATAGAACTCCATATATAAGTACCCGTATAAAAGACAAGCAGACTGGCTTATGTAAAAATGTATGTATTTTCTCTGTTATTGTAAGCACAAGGCACACTTCAATATAAGAGTTTCTTGCTTGCGTGTGAAATGTTGCGTTTGGGTGAGCACCGACCTCAGAATGCTTGTGAAAACTTACCACGAATCTCAAGCTCCCTTTTACAACACCTCTTTTTTGTCACAGCATTGTACTACTTTTGCAACTGTCACTGCAAAACTGCGACTCTGGCAGTTGCGTGTTGACCCTGAAGCCCAGACCTTGACAGGGCGCCTGCCAGGTGGAAGGCCTTGCGATTCTGAAGTGAATTTCAGTGCAGTGAAACTAGCAAATAGTGTGGGACTTGCTAGAAGTCATGTATAAATACTTTTGGCACAACAGATGCTGCTTAAAATGTTTTATGCACGCAGCAATGAGCAACTTTTAGCATTCAGAGTACATATTTCTCAGTCAAATGAGTGCTAGTGAAGCCAGTAGGAGACAAGTGGCATTAACGACGAATGTGATTCGATTAGCCCGCACAGTGCCATGCAAATGGCATTGCACTATAGAACGTTACAAAGTTAATACCAATTTCTCTGCCACCCTCCCCGCACACACATTAGATTAGTTTTAACAAGCCAAGGGGCCCGTGAATGGGCGAAGGACCACAGTATTCCGGCCGCAGCCTCGGCAGGGCCCGACACTACAACTACTGATCTGAAAATAAACTTTCTTCACTGACAGTCTGATGACGTATCGCATGTACAGACAAGAGTTGTTTGCATATGCCACGTGGCCGAAACTTATACAAACGATATAGTGTTTCCCATAGCAAGTATGAAATTAACAATCGGCAAGATTAAGGGCAGCCTACATTCCTTCTGCCCATTTCCATCATTCCAAACCAGGCATGACCATGTTTATAAACACTGCTTTGTTGAATGGAACAAATTCATTAATGGAAGTTTATGCAAGGACACGCGTCTTGCCGTAATCAATGAACAAGAGGTTGGCTATAAGGCCTACAAGTACAGATTGATTTAACATTAGCAGGATGTGCAGCAAAAGGCAAGCTTTGGCCACTCACGTCTTTCTTGACGCAGATGCGGACCGTTCCATCTTCAATGAAGTACATACCATCCGCAGCATCCCCCTGCGAAGAAAAACGAATGTCCTACAGCTTGCTATCAACAAACGACCTAAGTAAAAAATTTTTAATCCTACTGTGCGCTGAACAGGTTACTGGCAGGTTTATACATTTCAAACCAGAGCGACAGGATCTGTGCTCTCTCACATACATAACGCATATCACACTTGATTTCAAAAGTAGAATAGATGAAAACACCAGTTAAGAAAGCAGGCTTCTGGCAGAGGCCGACAACACTCATTCATTCATTTTTTCAGGAAGTCAGCAGAGTGTTGTACTGAGTCAGGGCACTGGTAACATCTCATAATGGTTTTTCAAACCAAAATCACAACTTCTTTTTTTGGTGAGTAGGTATTCCAGTCGATAACACATTTAAAAGGCAACGCATTCTTGAATACATCACGAGGAATAATTCATGCCAGCCACAAGAACTGTAAGTATGATGCAACTCCTGTAATACCTGCATTTGCCTAGCTGAGTAATACTTGTTGTTGAAATGGCTGGTTAATCAAATTTGAAGACATATTTAATCTGCGCTTCGTGTGCGAATGTTCTATGTGTTTAACATGCTGCCTTCTTTGTGCAGTTAGACATGCCTAGACAAGCTTTGTTTTGTCAGATAATGCCACGATCCAGGCCATTTGAACAGTTTGTGTAGCAAGAATTATTTATTATTATTATAAGTATTCGTCTACATGCACCCATTTACAGAACAGAACCAAAATCACGTGGCCATCCTATGGTCATCAAGGGGCACGAAGAGTGTGGCAAAATGCTAAGGTGAGCACATCATAAGATGATGGGTGACGATCACAAGCAACAAGCTAGGGTCAAGAACCCTGAAGGCTATAAAAGTGATGCGAGAAAATTTTGAAGTTGAACAAGCCCTACCAAGTAAATGACTGTGCACTAACAATGCACCGCTCGCTGTAGAAGTGCGACAATAAGCCTTTCTGCAAGCCACGCATCAGATGTGAAAAACGACTTGGCACGAAGGCGTACCTGCATGATGATGAGGTCCCCATCCTTGTACGCCCGTGGCATCAGGGCGTCACACAAATTCATTCGTTCGTAGTGCTGCACAAGAGAGGACAAAGCACTGCTATTGTTGCCCACGAGTAAAAACATTTTCCCGGCACTAAAAGCACACTACTCGGCTAGCTAGCACATCAGTGCTACGATACACCATTGCTAGCGACACTATATTGTCACAAAGGGTCACAAGGGAAGCGCTGTCAATTGAGTTGTATTGCTGCAATGTGTCAAGGCTGTAACATGCTAAAACTTGTTAGTGACAATAAACTAATACAACATATCAGTTCTAGCAAATCATAAAATCATTGTTGAACATTTATTCACTCCTATGCTGTACATACGATAGGATCTCAAAGTGAAATGACTATAATAAAGCCATAAATTTACAGAAAAATATTTGTATGCAAAATAGTAGTTAACCGAGAAAGAAATAATAATGGTGTGCATGAAACACATGAGTGCATGCAACGTTACAGAGTGAAAATAATTAGCAAGAACATGTTTATACAGAACAGAACATTTCAATTCATTTCTTAATGCACATGAAGATGGTGCACTACTGACAGAACATAACCTGTGATCCTGTACGTATACTAATGTGACTAACGGCACAAAAACCCTCAGTGGTGACAATAAGCTACTACTATGTGTGAGTGACACAATACCACTAATTACTCTCTTTTTACTAGAGTCACTTTTATATGGCAAACATATCCTAGTTGGTTATATAAGTTGTCACAACACCTCACTCATGATTCCCTTTGCACAGTTATCACTAATAACGCACACATATACCAGTCTGTCATATTGTCACTAACGAAGCCTCACCAATGATCCTCTGATAGTAAGAACCAGTTGTCCCAATGTGCCACTGACATCACAACGCTGATTACTTCATATGTACTTCCAACAAAACACTACTCACTAACAAGACATCACAATGTGACAGGGACATAACACAGCTGTGATTATGTATGTGTGCATTTGTGACACATAAATGTTGTCCCATTTGGTCACTAGTATGGTGTCAAACTGGATCACTGGTGGCTCTATGCAATGCTTGAACAGCGTGGCCATGTGGACAGAGAAGATGCACACACACACACACATGCAGCATGCGGCGTGTGTGCATGTTCACACAGTTCAAACATAGTATGTAGGGCCACTAGTGAACCAGTGAGACATTGCATACAAGTGACTGATCGCGGCAACATTTATGTGTCACAAGCATGCAGATACATAGTAACTGTGTTCAGATATATAGCACTGGGTGTGTGCGTTCCTCTTTGCCTGCATCTAGTTGCACTGTTCGTAGAGCCACGAGTGACCTGGTGAGACATAGCATGATTATGACATTTACGAGTCACAAGCACACAGGTACCGTAATTACTCGAATCTAACGTGCTCCTTTTTTCCGGTTAAGCGAGTTCATAAATTGCATGCACGTTAGAATCGAGTACGAAAAAAACAACTGAATACGGTCATTCTATTGCCATCGGCATATCCAAAATGGCTGCCCCCTACGTGCGTCGGCATGGTGCGTCGGCCATTTCTGCCTATATGTTTCCTATGTGCGGCACTTCGTACGTGTGCTGAGGAGTTCGTCATCTTGTAGTGCATTAGCGTCGACGGCATCGAAGGACCGACTCCAAAACCTCGAGTGCACCGCGATGCCGCTTTTAAAAGAAAAGTCATCGCGTGTGTAGAAACGGACGGAAATGGGCCGCATCGCGGTCGTTCGGAGTTCCCAAAACGTGCGTGCGGGACTGGCAGAAACAAAAGCAGAAGATTGTCGACAGCAAAGCTTCATGCAAAGGCTTCAGTGGACCATAGCAGGGTCGGTTTCTGCAAATTGAAGAGCTGTTTGACGAGTATGTGCTTGAGCAGCGAGCGGCACAGCGGCCCGTGACGACAGAACTGCTCCAAGTGCGGCCTATGCAGTTAACCTTAGAATAGAAAAAGGGCTAATGCGGAGCCAGTTTAAAGCGAGCAGGTACTGGCTAACGAACTTTATGAAGAGGAAAAGCTTTTACCTCCGAAGGCGAACGGGCATATGCTAAAAGTTTCGAGAGGAGTACGATGGAAAGCTTCACAGTTTTCAGAGGTTCGTTCTAAACTTGCGGCACAACAACGGCTATCTGCTTGGGCAAATCGGGAATGCCAATCAGACGCCTCTTTACTTGGACATACCACAACCGTCGCCACAACCCATACCATAACAGTCAAGAAGAAAGGGGGCGAAGCAAGTTCGCGTGCTGACATCGGTCCACGGTAAAACTGCAGTGACGGCAATGCTCTGTTACACGTAAGATGGACACAAGCTTCTCCGTACCTCATATTTAAATGAAGGAATCGTTTTTTCGAGTAGGTGTGATCGTGCGGGCCAAGGAGAAAAATGGGTGCGCGTTGCAATCGATGTCTTACTGTTTTCTTCTTTTTTTTTTTTCGTCGTTGAAACCGGCTGCGCGTTACAATCGAGGGCGCCGTAGAATCGAGTAAATACGGTACATGGTCACTGTGCTCAGATAAGCAGCGCTGTGTATGTGCATGTTCTTCCTGGTCCACATCGAGTAGCACTTGTTCGAAACATAACATGATCATCAACTAACTAGCCGGACAATGTACTATGGCTCTATACTTTCACAAGGTGAAAGTAACACAGCACAACGAAATCACAAATTCGCCAAAATGGCAAGCCAAGAAGGAGTTTGCGGTACTCACATTGAGAGACTTGAGCATGGGCACCTTCTCGAGCAAATTCTCATACTCCTTGCGCTTCTTGAAGGCGCTCTTGAGCACGATGCGCCGGAATGTCTGCCGGTTCATGGCCCACAAGGAGCCGTCTGTCACGGCCACAATAGTGGCTGCTCGCGGCATGTTGTACATGAGCGCTAGCTCGCCGAAGCTGCCTGTTCCATCGTATTTGCCCACCAGCTTGTCCTTCTCTGCGTCCGTCGTCACAAAGATGTGGTACGTGCCGCTGTGGATCACGTAGAAGTTGTCGCCGTCGTCACCCTGCTTGATCACCACCTCTCCTGGCTTGACCTACGTGTCAATGGTGACCAGCTTATCATTATCTCGCAGATTCTCTCAGAGCCCTTTTCACTCTGACTTAATATTAATACACTTCACTTCCATCCAGCATGATTATAACAGCACATAGGTAATTGAATGGCTATATGCTGCCCACCACAAAGTGCGCATGTTCACATTTTCACGCTCTTTTTTCCCTCCCATAATTCTAAATGAATGACTTTCCTTATGACATCACTGCCATCACTTGCTCATCTGTTTTGATGGAAAGAGTGTTCACAATTTTTTTCACCTTAATGTTTTAGCTATTGCAATATTTAATATTATTAACCTCGATATAACAAACCCAGATATAACAAATCATCTGTTATAATGAAGTGAAAAATAGTTTTCCTGTACACACAGTGTTAAGAATGTACATTCATAATAAATTTTTGGATATTACGAAGTACTTTCGAGGTAGATCTGACTGTTAAAATGAGGTTTGAGTGTAGTCAACTATATTAGTAAGCTATTCTAAACTACAGCTGTATTTATTGTGATTGTATTGTAAACTACAATTATAACTATTGTAATAGGTAAATATCATAATAGTCATATAATGACACCATGTGGGGTCCCGAAGAAATAAAGAATCAGTGATTGAATAAATTATGAATAAATGAATGAATGTGGGAGAAGGCAGTGTAATGCCTATCCTTGATGTAGCTTCCTGGTTAGCCCCGCACTGTGCCATCACTAGTGATGCCACATTGCCACAAAGTGACATGAGGAATGGTCGATAAAGTCATGTAGCCCAAGTGCTTCCATGGCCTCACTGCCGAAAGATGGTGGCACCAGCTTACAGGTTATGTTTAAACTCAATGGCCATGTAGTAAGGCAGTAAGTAGAGAAAGAAAGGCAGTAGGGAAACAGTAGGCAGTGAGTTGACTCATGCCTATTCATCTGTGGAGAATAACTTATCATTTTGTCTCCAGTATTTCCAACAGTGATCTGCCAATACAGCCAATGTACCATGCATTAGAGCAGGAATCAGCATGGCAGCTAGTGCAACTGCATCGAATATGTCTTCAGGATACATTCAGTCAGTCATATTTATACAGTGCACAAGAGTGGAAGCTTGGGCTAGTTGGTGCGTAGTCATATTTGCAAGATTTTTTACAGCGCGCGAACGAAGGAAAAAGGGCAGGGTAGACTGAAAGGGCACCGACTTCCAACTATATTTCACAGAGTGGCAAGAATATATACATCTAAAAAGACTGATTACATAGCATGAAAGTAAAAAAGCAAGCCTAATCTATACATCAGTAACAAAGCACATGTGACGGGTCCTCTATTGCCTCAAAGCCCAGCCAGGTAATCACGTTCAGCCTGTGATAAAGAAACCGATGCAGTGCTTACGCATTTATTTCCTAGCAAATGTATTTTTTCGGCTTCCATAATGACCGCCTCCGAGAGCACCGAAACAATGTGCACAATGTGGTACAAGGGCATCTTGGCATTCATTGCCGAGATTGTGGATGCATCCCCCCCTCTTTGATCAGTGCTCTATATTGGCAAGGCGCAGGAAACAGCTTACACGAGAAATTATCGAAGCCGAAAAAATACACTTGCTGGGAGATAAATGCGTAAGCACTGCATCGGTTTCTTTATCACAGGCTGAACGCGATTACTTGGCTGGGCTTTGAGGCAATAGAGGACCCGTCACACGTGCTTTGTTACTGATGTGTAAATTAGGCTTGCTTTTTTACCTTCATGCTCTGTAATCAGCCTTTTTAGACGTATATATTCTTGCCACTCTGTGAAATAAAGTTAGTTGGAAGTCAGCGCTCTTCCTGTCTATTCCTGTCCTTTTTCCTTTGTTTGCACGCTGAAAAAATCTTGCAATTATACAGTGCAATAGTGGACACCCCTCAGATGAACGTGGGATAGTGTAGAAAACAGTTGGGCGACTCCCCCCGCGCATAGCACTGCGTAGCACATAAGCAAAGGGCGATATAATGAATGGTATACAGATGAAAAATCAGACCACTATACGTCACGTAAAATTTTTGCTGTTCTCATCATCGAGATCAATCTGACTCTTGCAGAGGCAAAGGACAATACTACACAGGAACAGAACTTTCCAATACATTTAATTAGAAAGACAAACAGATCGCTTAACATGTGTGGACTCAAGAGGAGCCCATGGTTTTACTTGTAATAGTTGTGAAAACGCTGTTTCTGTGGTCATTTTTTGCAAATTACATGAATGAATGTTTTTCTGGCAAAATATGTCATATCACTGATGGTGCAACTTCAACAAAGTTGCAGATAAATTGCAGATGCAATAAAATAAAAAACAAGCATAACTAACATGATTAAAGTTCAGTAAGCAACGAAGCCTTTTCTCATTTCCCTTAGATGCACGTTTGGACAAAGAAGAACCATCATCTTGACCATAGAATGTACAAACACCTGCTTCTCAACAAGCGCACCTTCAAAGATGTGATTGAATGGTCCCGAAACTTGCAAAGCCTTCTGGTCCATAGATCATACATACTTAAGTTTCGAATATAGTCCCTTTGCATCAACTTTGAAACAAACAGGCTACTTCAGGAAAAAAAAATTTCAATATGTGGCCACCACGACGCAGCAAATAAAAGCAGTGAAAATTTCTGATAATGTAACGCAAGGCTATCAATGTAGTTGGAAAGGGCTGACGTTTGGGCAAGTTGGTGGAGGTTCATTTCAAGAAGTGTTAACGGCACATAGAACGATTAGAAAAGGAGGAGGCAACAGAGGTAAAGAGCACTCTTTGCCTCTGTGACCTCGTCCTTTCTTAGTCGTTCTATGCACTGTTAACACTTTTACAGCGAAAGCTGTTATGAGATCACAACTCGGTTCTCGCGCAGCGCCGTAGTTGTCCGCCGCCACCGGTGTTCATAACACATCGCACAAAATTAGTCAAAAAAACCTAGTACCTATGACACAGTGGGGCTCGAACTCAGCTGGGCGCCAGCTGAGTTCGAGCCCGCCAGCTGAGACAGAGGCAAAGAGTGCTCTTTGCCTCTGTTACCTCCTCCTTTTCTAATCGTTCTATGTGCCGTTAACACTTCTTGCACCCCCCTTACCACTGAGCCAAGCCAGTGCTTGGGACTTGTTGGCAAACTTGCCTAAGGCAGGCTTGATGTCGATAAAGCAATCGCATTAATATGACTTATAAAGCGTTTCAAAACAGAGAAAGAACAAGCAGTCGGTGCACAATGCAAATAGGGTAATGAGTGGGTCATCGAATGCTCCAACCCATTACAGAAGGTTGTTTTTGTTCAGCTATAAACTGTGGCGAATACCCATTTCAGGCACAATTCCTGATCGTTTTCAGTCACAACATTAACGATTGGCACGAAATTCCTCGCATTAGCTTGCTTCTCAGAATAATGACGAAAAACAGCATAGTGAATGCCGGCTTACTGCCCTAAAATTTTTATTATTAATGCCATAGTGGGCATCAAGCAAGTGTGCTTGCAGCAGTTACCCAATGAGTGTTTAGAAAAGGCTCTGAAAGGCCGCTTTTTTAACTTTCGCTGTGATGTGCTGCCCCTTCCGCGCAGGCCTGGCGTTATTTTTTTTTTTCAGGGCTATCAGTTTCACTACAGGACTTATCAATGGCAGCGAGTAAAATGAAAGCAATCTATCCAGGCAAAAGATGTACAAAAACGATTATACTTGTCTAGAGCAGCGAAGCACATGGCTGTGGGCGCTGTTGTCTGCAGCTGCTACCTCACATTAGGTACAAACTTATGTTCCCACTTAATTTATAGCATGAAGACCTAGCATGCAGTACGACTACATTAGGTATCATTACAGCATTGGTATTTGCCCATTTCTGTGAAAAACGGCAGCTGAGGCAGCCGGGTGGGCGCTAAAAACAAGTGCGATTCCGTCTGCACGCAAGGGTTATCAATGACAAAGTGAGACAACTGAAACAGTTGGAGTAGACAAAAAAAAATGTCCACTTGCCTTTCGTTCAAACATGGCATCTATCACCTCCTGCATCTGGCTCTGCAAAGTAAAAAAAAAAAGCAGGTTTGGCATTGAAGACATTATTAACAACTATAGGTATGTGAGTAGGGGCCTTTAGGCAAAGCAGATATGAATCAAATAGTGATCATACTGAATTGAATACCAATAAGAATGGAATTCAAAGAGTTTTTAAATAGCAAAATAACCATTTATAAAACAGGACTAGAATTCTACAATTCTTTATTTAAAACAAATATTCACAAACTTTAACAAAGTAATATCACCATTTTATTTAACCGAAAAAACATACCACACTTATCTAAGGTGAGATACAGCAATCACTGGAGCCCTCAAGGTATTTTTACTGTAAAGTCAATACAACAGTTACTTCAGCATTCAAGGCGGCACTTTATCACCAGCTTTTTAATGACACGAAAACCTAAAGGTAGTTGTTCATTGAAAACATGTTCGCCCCACCGCGGTGGTCTAGTGGCTAAGGTACTCGGCTGCTGAACCGCGGGTCGCGGGTTCGTATCCCTACTGCGGCGGCTGCATTTTTGATGGAGGCGGAAATGTTGTAGGCTCGTGTGCTCGGATTTGGGTGCACGTTAAAGAACCCCAGGCGGCCGAAATTTCCAGAGCCCTCCACTACGGCGTCGCTCATAATCATATGGTTGTTTTGGGACGTTAAACTTCACATATCAATCAATCAATCAATCAATCAATCAATCATTCAATGAGAACACATTCGCTTCGACAACAATGGAGTGTAAGGCTAAAAATGCCTTTACTTTCCCAATAACTAAAGCTTCCATAATCCTGCAAAAGCTTGAACTGCTTGCATATTGGTAATTCACTCATTTAAACTAAAAAAAAAATTATTTTTCTCTTCCGAGGTGTTGTGCCATTCGGGTTTCACAGTAACTGCTGATTTCTCAAAAAGTATTTTGAATACTCTGTGCTGTTCCCTTCGAGTATTGAATCGAACAGAATGCCATTCGATTCGTTATTCAAAATCTTCGAACATTCGCACACACCTAATAGCAACTATAACACCTATTTGCTGCGGGAGCTCGCAAAGCTGGCTTACACAGAGCCATCTCGAAAAGTGCACTCTCACAGAAGCGGGAGAACAATAAATCACACGCCTGATAAACTGCTAGTGCAAGCCTGAAGCTGGGCATGCCCCTACATATTGCATAGGGCTGCCAAAAAGATGGTACACCACGACGTATGGCGCTATTCTGACACGAAAGCCTCCCTGAACATGCAGGGATGCTGCAACCTATAGGAACCCTATAAAAAACTCTGGTGCTAGTTTTTGTGAGAGCTACAATGCACGGTACTTCAGCGAGCATGGCAATGATAGATAGTAAACAAATTTGCCTAATTTTCATACTTTCGGCTCTGTTTGGCTTCGCAGGGTTTGGAGCTGCTTTGTCATGAGACGACAATCTGCAATTGTCCAGCAGTTGCACTTCACACCTTAACTTCTTAGGCTCACTCATTCAAATCAGTTTGCAAAGTTCAGAATTGTCTGAAACAAAACCAAAACACTGTAATAAACAAAGGCACAAGTGTGTTTGAAGCACGAAGACTAGGCAAATCTGTGTACTACCCATCATTCTCATGGTCGCTGAACGATTGCAGCATCAGATTCCCCTCTAGATAATTTTAGGAAACTCTATGGCTGCAAGTTCCAGTCTGTACCTGTATATTGATGGGGGAGGCCTTTGTAGTTCTGAAGTGAGCAAACATGATAATGAGCATAAACAAGATGATTATGACAGCAAAGACCGAGAGGTATACCAAAAACACTGTGGGTAACAACAGGTGGTCAAGATAAGTGACCAACAGCAAAAACATGTCGACTCGGCTTATATCAGAGGTTGAAAGATGTACTGACCTGGTCCAAGGACTTGAACAGCAGGATGTTCTTGACTGCCTCGCCAAGCCTCTCGCGTTGCTCGTCAGATTTGGGATGCACCACCTGAACATGGTGTGACCAGGGCACGGTTGAAACAATAATCATCTCGTTTAATTATTTACTGCACCGTTCAGCATATAAAGGTCTACGCAAACTTTACCATTCACATTTTCTGTCGATACTATGGGAAAGGTATGGAAGCGCTGCATCCCCATGATAAAAAGAAATATTGCACATTACAGCAACACAATCCAGAAGGAAAAGAAAAAGAGGAACCTCAAGAATCATTATCTTTCTGCGCGAATCACTTTTGCGAACCTCAAGAATCATTACCTTTCTGTGCGAATTACTTTTGCAGAATCTCGCAAGAGATTTCGCAGAATTGATTCCATGTGCTTCGAGTTGTCGATTAATTCACCCTTACGCTACCAATTGTTAGCTTCCTGGTTAGCTCAAATGGCTGAGCAACCACAATGGAAAAACGTTGGTTCCCGGTTCGATCTTCGAACCAGGATAAATTTTTCAGCAAAAAGCTTTCTTCCTGACAAATCCGTATGGATTCTTTTGTAGCTTCATGCTATGAATGGCTGGTTGTCAATTAATATGCCTACCACTGCAAAACAAGATGCACAGACAGTAGGGCACCATTTGATGCAACTAATCAGAATAACACTCAAACCTAATATAACAAACCCCGATATAACGAAATATCAGTTACAACAAAGCAAACCAAAATAGTTTTGCAATGGATATAGTGCCAGGAATATAGCTTTATAACAATTTTTTGGATTTGACGAACTCCTTTTCGTATATGATATAACTTTGTTTTAATGAGGTTTTAGTGGATAACGAACTCCGATATGACGTATTATCTCATATATGAAATTAAGTGGTGAATAGTCTTCTCACAAATAGTGTAACAAATATACATTTACAGCAAATTTTCAGATATAACAAACTTGTTTTTGTGCAAGATAAGACTGTTATAATGAGGTTTCACTGTATAATGAGCTCAGATATAACTGATTATCTGTTATAACGAATTAGGTCATAAATAGTATTGTCACAGATAGTGTTACAAATATACATTCATAACGAATTTTCAGATATAACGAAGTATTTGCATGGCAGATGTCACTTCGTCATAATGAGGTTTAAGTGTACATGATGTACAACCTCACAGGACATAAGACAATGGCAAACAATTAAGAATAAAGATTGATAAATAACAAAAAAGCTTAGTCCCACAACTATACACCTTCTGGAGTAGAATGCTGAATTGTACTGGCTGATACATTGATGAATTTTGAGGAACGAGCACCTAATATCAGTGCAATAATGAGATTTCATGACTACAAGCTGTGGTGAGGAGGGAAGCTATAAAAATTGGTGCTGCTTGAAGGTAAGCCTCCCTTTTCACAAACAAAAAGAAACTGGTATTATACCCTTCGCCTTAAAAAGAAGATGAAGAAAACAATTATTAAGTACACTGAAGTTCATGCAATAGCACCCCTAGGCGACTGGTTACCGATATGCAGCATCCCTAGTGATGACCAAAAAGACTAACACCCTGGCCGAAATACGAGGTAAACTTGCATTTAAATTTTTGAATTTCCCATCGTTCATGCATATGACTAATGTAAACGCCACTATAAATGTGTTCTTAAGCAAAAACATGAAAACGAAGTATACCAGAAGGCTTCTAAGGTTACAATGTCTGCTAAGATTGTAAAACGTTCATTTATGAGTACCATCCAACATGGCCAACATTTAATCTGTTGCCATTGGAGTTTGAGTCACCATAAAGAAAATCGCTCATATACTAAACCTTTCCAATTTCTCTAGCTTGAACATCCATTTCAACGTTTACAAAAAAAGGCTCAGGTAACAAAAAAACAGAAACTGCTCCCCCAAAAAAAGCATGTATGAGTTAAGGAACCGAAATGCATGCATATACATTTGACATTCCAAAGTTTTATATGACACCTATTGTAAAGTGACATTCAGTGAATGAATAAAAAAGTTGCTTTATTCTTTATAAATGAACTGGTGAAAGGTACGATCCAGGAAAAAGACCTGTCGAACCGTTTACAATGTTGAGAAATTTTGCTTGCTGAAGTGTAAGGTCACAGAAGAGTCTGCTTATTTCCTGAACAACTGCTACATTTTTTATGCATTACGGTAAGCATATGCCTAAAATGAAGTTATAAATAAAATAAACTACAGACAAACCAGCATGTAACGAATCTGAAGGGGATCACAAGAAAGTCCTATATATAGGTCATGAAATATGTAAAATATTCAATATATCAAAAATATATTCAAGGGGAATCTATAGCTGTTCAATAGTCACAATTTCTTATACATTGGTTTAATATATACAAGTTTGAATGCTATTATTTTAGACACGTCAAGCAAGCTACAAGTTTGTTGAAGGTAAAAGCAAGTGCGACTTTCAGTGAATACCCTGTTTAGATGGTATTCTCAAACTGCAGCAAAATGTTCAGATAACAGAACTTGTATTAAACACATGTCATCAAGAATAACTGCTCCTCAACAGCACTTAACAACGACTCATTACTGATTGAAATGCAGCATTAAAGGAACATTCGTATTGCACCCATCTCACCTTGGCACCCTCGTCATCTTCATCCTCAGCCGGATCGTAGTGCTCAGCAAACACTGCAAATGCACAAGGAAAATCCTCAGCATCACTAAATCAGTGCACAATCACATATCGCCCCTCGCTCGTTGAAATCACTGTTTACACTTTCTTATAAAGCCGACTGAATTTTGATCAATTCGCTTGTCTTCCAAAAAGTCACAGTTTCACCAAAAAGGCGCAGCAATTAATGTGATAGCAACATATTCGGATGTCTTACGAAACAAGGCTAGCAAATTGCAATGCTATACAAAGTTAGGCTGGCAGTCAACTCATTTAGATCCGATCTCACGTAACTCTACAAAACGCTGGTGTAAGAGAACACGGCCGCTGCATGTACACTTTTGGCACCGTTTTTTCGTGATGAGAGCACAGCCCGTAGAAGCTCCCGCCTGCTGTGCAGGCACAAGCCGTGCCATGATCGTTGCTACAATAGCGCGGCAACCTTAAGCCCCTTCCCCTCTGTTCTCTCACGAGATAAGCGCGCATACAGACGACCCCGGCCCGAAAGGCGATGTTCACTCCGCAGGAAAAGGAGGCTAGTGCATCTTTCCCCGTATTAGTATATATACATACATATACATATACGCGAATGACGACGGCAGTGGCGAAGACAGCAAAAACCAGCCGAGACTGTCCATATAATCGCTATCACAAGAAAACACATCACAGTGGCTACAACTCTGTAGCAAGACCTTTTAGCAGCATTCAGTCATTGTGAAATGTTGCTAACGTCTCCATGTGCATTACACATGCACATCCGGCACTTAATGCATGCCTATAGGATGGCACGCGAAATCTAAATTTTGCATCCTGTGCACCCAGCAGCACAAAGCTGCAGTGAAAAGTGGTTGCTTCTACAACAATACTTCCTAACAATAAATTTTCAGAAAGCAAACATAGAACAATTGTACAGCAAAAGTGGGGCTTGCAATTGCCCTGCCCTAGGAAGTCTTGTGAATTGTGCCTTGAACCAAAGTAGCGTGAGAGAGTGGGGATGGCTACTGTAATCATAAGAACAGCAGGATCAGTACGTAGGCATTGAAAATGTGGTAAAATTTATCTACCATGAACGGTCATCAAACATTCGATATCATTGCAGCTTTCTTCAATACTAAGTGTGAAATACTACTGAGCGCACCTGTATTTGAGGGACCTAAAGCTAAATCTAATTATCCTACCGACTACAGCATCAAGTGAACCATTTTGAGCTTAACATTATTCAATAGATATTACCCTAACAATCTAGCCAGCTTCTCAGCTATACAAGAACACACAAAAAAAGTGTGAGAGCCCTTACATTTTATTGTATACAAGTACCAAAATTAACCTTTTAGCTTTCCGGCAGTGTGTTTCCCTAAGTTTATATTTGCATGCATGCTGGGAGACAATGAACCAAACCAGACAATGCCAGCAGGCCCATTCATTCCACAGTTATTGAGTTAGCTCAAATGTGGGGAAGAAAAGAAACAAGAATGAATATGGCTATTATAAAAACAAAAAGATAAGGTATGTAAAAAGTTCTCACAATATATACCTCATATGCACGGATAGAGGGGCGAGAGGGCCACACAATACTTTTCATACGTATTAAAGGACATTGAAAAATTAACATTGTGCCACACCTTATTCACTCCTAAGACGAGACGGAAAGTATAGTGCCCCAGCCACACAATTGCAGCTTTTCCTTGCATTGAATGCGAAAAATATGGCACTAGTGAAAAACAAATGGTGAAGTTTAAGTGTCAGAACTGACACTAGCTTTGCACGCGAGTGATGTTACTGTAATGTAGGTCTAATAATGGAAAGGCTCAACAAATGTTGTGACAGCCTGTTGTGACAGCCAAATGATCGAGTAAAAAAAAAACATTATGACCCACAACATACAGACTGCAATGTCACATTACATTGATCAATGCCTGTACTTTTTCAAGAATCAAGTGCTGGTGCTACGTGAAGAAGTTTTGTTGCAGAAGAAAAGATTATGTACGACGACACATTTGTGCTTGTTTGTGTGTTTTTTTTTTTTTCGGCAACTGGCGTGAGAAAAATGGGGGCTTCACAGTCAGGAGCTTTGATAACCAGTCATATTCTCAGTGATATGTTTTATGTGTTGAAAAAAAGCCATGATTTAAAAAAGATTAATAATAATGCTTCTCTATATGGGTTATAAAGTGACACATAGACAAAACAATGAGGAAAGGGCAACATTTGTGTGACAATCTATCCATAGAAGGTTTTAGAAATGCAAACCTTTTCTTTTTCTACAGCAGCTTTGAATCTGTAGGCTTTACCATCCATGTCCAACATTTGCCAGTATGATTTTTCAAATTTCACTGCATGTTTCTTCTTCTTTGAACTACCCATACTCCGACCGCAGGCTTCTGTAGAACTTCACTAATGTTATTGTGACAACACTATATAACTGCAGAAAAAAACATGTATCAGGCAGCCATTGAACAAGCTAAACGAATGTGGCCAAGTTAAAGAACGTGAACCAAACGCAAATAAACTGAACAAATTCAGAGTCTTGTGCTGTCCTGTAAGAAACCTTACAATGCTTGCAGAGAAAATTTCCGAATGGAGAAAGTGCACACGGAGATTTGCTGTCTGTGGATAAATATTGTTTTTTTTTAAATAAGACGTCAATCCATTGATACTATATTATTGTGATACTAACCATGCTCTCAGAGCAAATTTGCTGTCGGCGTCGCCGTGCTTTGCAATATAATATGGTTCATACAGGATTGTACACTCAAACCACATTATAACAATGTTGCATCTTACACGAAAATAAGTTCGTTATATACGAAAATTTGTTATGAAGATATGTTTCTCATGCTATATCTATTGCAATTTTTTTTCATTTCCTTCATCATAACCGATATTTCTTTATATCTGGGTTCCTTATATTGAGGTTTGAGTGTAGTGCGATAAGATATCCTACTGTGCCCACTTGCGATGCGCCGTCAAATCGAGGGAGAGAGAGAGAGAGCACTGTCCTCTTGCACGAGGAAAAAGAGAGAAGCCGTACACAGGCAAGGGGGGAGGGCAGGTGAGCGAGCCGGAGAGTGCAAAGCAGGTGGGTGTTTCTCCTCCAATTCGACTTTTCCATTTTTCTGTGCTATCCTCTGACGTTTTGGTACTGTTTCAGTAGGGGCCAGACAACTGGTATCGCCAGAAAGAAAGCCCCCCCGAGTCCTTTCGCGACTTATCTAAGGTGACAGCTCATGTGCTAGGGAATCACGCACGAAATTGTAGGACATACCAAGCGGGTTGAGGAAAAAAATTCGCTAGAATGGAGAAGGCGCTGCTCACGTAAAGCGGCGCACAGCCATCTTGCCATCAGCAAAAAGCACGCCTCCCGCAACGCACTTATAATCGACAATTAGATGTAGATAAATAGTTAAATTATATATATATATATATGTGTGTGTGTGTGTGTGTGTGTGGAGTGCATGCGCGCACGTGCGTGTGTATTCTGATAGATCATTTTCTTAATTGTACTGTCCACTTCCCCGATGCTGCATAAGCATGCTGTGCAAGCCATCAGCGGACAGCTTGTGCTTAAATACAGTCTAGTAGGTTTCGTATTTCTCGACTCAGTCTAACACTAGCTAGTAAATAATTTAAAGGTATACAGAAAAAGTTGGTTACGTCGTCTAGATGTCTCCCCCTTATCTGTTAATATATATACTTACCACTATTCAAATCCAAAAATACTTCTTTTTAATTAAACAAAAGGTAATTTCATAAAACTTCCTGAGTTTGTATACAGTAAATGATGCTAATAAATCTGCTATTGAACATATTTTTCATAGGAGCTCCTCAATGCTGAACTTATGACCAAACATGAGCAGAAATGAACATTTCTGCAACTTTGTCGTCACCAGTATACGCTAACTTTGTTTTGCATTATAAATGTTTCATTATCTTTAGTCTACAGTAAATCTTTCTACCAATACAATAATACTATCACAATTTGCTGAACGTTATTTCTCAACGATAAAATTCTCTACATGGTTTATGTTGTCAGTATTCAAGGTCAAATAAAAAACTGACGAATACGTAAAAGTACATAAAATCTACTTTACGTAAAAGTCCTACAATTGTTTTAAAGGCAAAAATTTGCTCTAACTTAAATTAGGAAGAGAGAACTGTCCAATATGTTTTAGGAGCAACAATTTCGAGCTTTCAGAAAAAAATTCACATGAGGCTTACAGTACTGCAAAAACTTTTTCGCAAAAATATTTCGGAGGATAACTTCTCACTTTAGATAGATAATCCAGAATTTTTTTCAAGCAAATCTCAGATAGTCGAGCGCCAATGCCCGAACAGTCGGCGTTAAATTACCCAAATGTGAAAGAGAACATTCTCGGGACGTCTGCGTATTCTTAGAGGAAGCACTCTCAAGTTCAATCTGTTCAGCATCACTGAGTGGAATGTGTTAGGGTCAGTCTGTGTCTGCACACACCCTAGACCAGTGGGCACGCACTCCAGGCTGGCGCCACGCTCACCATCCTTCCAGTCCATCGCTTATCAAGCCTCACGAACCATCAAGAGCAGTGTACCCTCGGCCAGCACTAACTCCCGCCCATCTTTGCTCCTTTTTTGTAACAACTACACAGGATTGGAACCACCATGCACTATTCGGACACACATTGATTCGAGGCTGCTAGAGAATCTCTTCATCATTGTAATCGAACCAATCTATGATATAGCAGCCCAGCTGGGGCCTTCGAGGTATCAATAATGACATAAATGAGCCGAACAGCCAGTGAACCGCACCCCTTAGAGGATACCGCTGAGTGTGATTGAACGGGAGTATTTCTCAAGTCGGGGAGGCGATCCAGGCAGCGCCTTTCCAGCCTTTCATCTATAGATATATTCATTAAAGAAAAACTTATGTGAATTGATATAACTACAAACTTAGGGGAAATACGTGGTCGGGTTAAACTGAAAAATCTAATTCAAGACTCACCGGACTTGCGCCTCGAAAACCGTCCCGGTGGCTCTGAAAATCGAGAGATAAGAGTTCATGAGCGCCACATATGCAAGCACTGCATCACTCAGCTGCAGGCAACACCTCAAAACGAGTATGCTTCAATTTGCAAAATTTTCCTAGAGACCTTATGGTGCACATGCCCACTGAAGTTTATAGCATTCTTGCACAGAGTTGACATGTGCGTTCCTGTATGATCGCAAAGTTAATAAAAGCTTACTACAACAAAATATGACACAGTAACAGTAACACATGCTTTCCGGTACACTTCTCTTTCCTTTTTAGGAACAAGTTTCAAAACACGTTGGCAGTTGAAACTAAAGTAATCATTACAAATATACATAAGAAATATTGGTCGAGTTAGCACTTGACCTGTTAAAATTCACTGTAATGCCACCCATTTCTTTGTTGTTTTGCAAGGGTGGAACTAGCAGAGCTGTCACACCCTCTAAATTTAAATCCGAAAGGAGCATGCATAAGGCTGCGATGAAATAACGTTCTCAAACCACCGAGAACAAAGAACCCTTTCCCGAGACGTGCATACTACGACGAGTTCCCGAAAGTTTAAAAAAAAGCAAAAAAACTAAGTCGTGTAACACGTACTGCAGTGAAAATCGTAGACACCAGAAACAACACACCGCAGCCAAACAAAAGCTGCCACAGACACGCCAAAGTAACGGCATATATTTGCGTATGGCTCGGTGCTGTTGCAAGCTAGGTAGCTGGAAACTGTACAGCTTATGTATTGATGCACACAAAAGCGTAGGCGTGCGCAGCATTCGACTTCAGAGAGGAGGGGGGAGGGGCGAAGGTTCGCCGCAGCAGCCTCCTCCCTACTAAGTCAATGTATAGGGCAGACATCACGCCCCCTACCTATTAATTAGGTTAATGTATGAGCCAAACTTCTCGACCCCTCCTTATGAAGCCATTGTATGGAGCAGACTGTGCCCCCTTAATTATTAAGTTATAGAATGGGGCAGACATCACGACCCTTCTCCTCCCTAATTAAGTCAATGTGTGGAACACACTTTGCATGCCCCTCCCATTATTTAGTGAATGTATGGGAAAGAATTCGCGCCCCATCCCTATTAAGGCAATGTATGATGCCGACTTCGCACTCTTCCCTATTAATTAAGTCAATGTATAGGGCAGACTTTGCACCCCCCTTCTTAATTACAAGCCCCCCCTGCCCCTCTCGTGCGCACACCTACGCACAAAATCACCGGGACCATAACAATCCTCGTCTTGTACACAGATGCACAACCCGCATTGCAGTCAGTCTCTGCTTCCATACAAATCTCGCTCAGCTTCCCCTCCTGCACACAGCGAAAGTTGCCCCGCAACCGTGACCGAGGGCTTGGCGAGTCCCACCCTGCGTTACGCGCACAGCGCAGCAGCCGGCGTTGTTGCTGGTCTTACGACAGTGGCGCCCTCCCTAACACCCGCCGACGTCCAAGACGTCCAGGGCCTGACGAGCCACGACCGGCCCTCGCGTACTTACTTGAGTGAGCAACGAGGTCACGTGACGCGGAAGGGACAAACGTAAAGAAGGGCGGTGCTTACGTTTTTTCCCTGTCGTGGAAGACAGAAAAAAAAGAAGAGAAAAACAGACAAGCGGTCAGATTGCAGAATGCGCGTAGCATTTGACCGCGGTCGCGGAGGACAGGCGAGGCGTCGTACCTCTCTTCTCAGGGGTTCTCTTGTCTGTCAAGGCCGCAGCGGATGAGGCGGACAAGAAGAGAGGAGGGTCAGCCAGCGATCGACAAAACGGGCCCTACGGGCCGCGGGCTCACCTTTGGACATGACGGAGCGCCTCGTCTTCCTCTGTACCCATGCAATCAGCGCATTACGCTCAACGGCGGGAGCAGTTCGCTTTTACTCGGCGCGCCGAGCGAGCGGAATGGGCCATGTCTGGCGAAGAATGGGAGCGGCTGTCGCAACCTGTCTGATGAAGAGCCTGTGCTACGTCGCTGCGAAGTTAGCGTGGACGAAATAAAATAAAATAAAAAGAAAACCGACGACAACTTGACGCGAGGGCGGTTCAGGTGTTTTCGCCGCACAGAGCTTCCGCCACTGTCGATTACCGAATGGGAACAGTCGGCAGGTTGGTGCCCACTAGATGGATAATTATTAGCGTTGCGGCTGCTCTTCGCGAAGAGTACAGCGAGCGCCGGCTGAGTTTTCTGACAACTGTAGGCAATAAAATACACAATATCTGCGGTTTTACGTCCCAAAACCACAGCATACACGATTATGAGGGACACCGTATACACGTGATACAGAAATCTAAATCGCCTGGTGTTTTATTTTTTTTTTAACATGTATACTGACATCCCCACAGTACATAAGTCACTACCGTTTCATCTGTGCCGAAATGCGACCGCCCCTGTAGGAATCGAACCCACTACCTTCGGTACACGGTAACCCCTGCCCACCATGGCTGACTAACTGGGAACCAACACTCTAAGCCGAAATTCGGCAAAGTTGGACTAACTGCAGTCGTTAAACCGATGGACGAACGGTTCGTCCAACAGGGACTAAATGTGTGACAATGCGTGTCTTGCGCAAACGCCCGGCAAAGAAGGGACCAACGGGGAGGGCAACTGCGCCGCTATCGCCTCCTGTCGATGCTGCACTGCAATGCTCGGCGTGGTCGGCGATCGTGAAAACAAGTTAAATAGGCTATACACCACTGTGAAAGTGATGCACTATGAAACGAATAGAAGATGTTATTAGAGGAAAGTAGTACAACACGCTGTCAGTGCACACAGCAAGTGCCCTCGCGTCTCCACCATGCCGGCACGGGCGAGCCGGAGCCAAGTGAAAGTCTCCGCAAACACGGGCAATGCCGAGAACTCGCTTTAATGTGCTGAATAAGTTCGAACTACGGTGAACACTGACAATACTAATAAAGGTAAGCTGTTCATCAGCGGTCGTGTACCCACACAGTGACCACAAGTTCAAAGCGATATATAGGAAAAGTAGGCTTCGTACGTCATCGGTATCAAGCGGGCTGCCGGTGTGAGTGCATTGCCGGCACAAGCGTAGGAAACGTCGCGTACAAGTTCACAAAAATAGTAGCTCAGGCAAACTTGTGTCTTTTTATCCATGCGACAATCGTTATCAAAAATCCAGCGTGTAGGCGATCGCGGATACGACTAATCGTGCGGCCGGCGGTACACAGGGAGCGACTTACCAGCACGATGAAAGAACCGTGCCTGCGAACGGTCTCGTCGCTGTAAGTATACAGATATCTACATCACTCCGTAAGACACAGCGGACATGGGGCACTTACCTATTGTTCATTTGTGACTATAAAATAACGACGACGAAAATTTCACGCGAGCCGCATGTTGCGATTGCCGGCGGTCGTTTAGCCGTACTCGTCGTAAGCCTAGTGACGCCGTCGGCAAGCCGACACGGTATGGCATCGGCGGGGCGCCTGCGGCTGCTTCGCCGGCTTTCCCGCACAAGCGCCGCTGCTATGTTTGTGTTTGCAGAATCGTGCGCCAGCACTGCGAACACTGGTTCGGCCGACATGATCGAATACCAGCTGATAATTCGTATTCTCGGGCTGGAGGCATGTTGAAGATTACATGGATCCATATTAAAAGATCGATGCGCATCGGTGCTACGAATAAGCCCATGTAAATTTTCGCGTTACGGTGTCAATATTTATTGTTTTCTTAAGCCGAGAAAAAGTCGCCCACTGGCACTAGATGGGAGGTCTAAATACTGTGCTATATATACCCGAGAGTCTGTTCTCCGTAGTACAGCGCGGGCAGTCAGTGATTGCGGTGTTTTACTTTGAAATAATAGTGCGTATGTATGTGTGTGTGTGTGTGTGTGTGTGTGTGTGTGTGTGTGTGTGTGTGTGTGTGTGTGTGTGTGTGTTGCAAGAATAACATACTATGATCTCCAGTGCTGATTAAATTGGAAAAACATAAAATATACTGTACAAACGCAGTGTCGCCATTTTTTGCCATTGGTCCAGACGGTTCAACTGTTAGTCCCACTGGAGCATTCTACTGGGGCCAACATTTAAACCAAGTGGAGTAAGTGCTTTGGGTAACAGTCGAGCCCTTGCAGTTACTCCCGCAGTTAGTCCAAAATTTGTTCAAAATCTGTGGCAGCGCATTTAGACCCCTAAAGGACCAATGGCATACCCCACTTTAGTGTTTTTCGGCTTAGAGTGAAGAGTCGCAGGTTGTGTGACACGGAATGCCAGCATGTGCGTGCACCGTGAGATGCTCCTGTCTGAATGCGGCAATAATTAAATTCCTTCCTAATGAGTTTAAGAGAACCTTCCACAGCGTCAACTTGCGTTGCCCGCACTAACTAATCCATCTCACATAAACATACCTCAACCAACTATGTACCGCTTAGCGCTGCTGTAAAATAGTATATAACGCGTTATAGTGGTGTAGCAATAGGGGTGTCCTCCAAGTGTCCACTGCAATCACGTAGGGTAACACCGCTTCAAAGGTGAAGCACTATATAGGCCCTACTCAAATATTATTTACGAGGAATAAGGTCATCAGCGGACTACTCAGGTCATGTGTCTAGAACCAACAAGCAAACGCATTGGCAGCATCGATTGTTTAATAGCAACGCCTCGCCAACAATGGCGCATGTCCACTGTCAGGGATAATCATATTTCCTTTATTTTTTTTTTATTCACATACCCGGTAAGGAAATGTACAAGCGCACGTTCTAACACAAGTCCATAACTACAACCCCGAATCAAGATCGCAGCAATGGTGAAGCAAACCCAAGTGCTGTATCGTCATAGAAGGCAGAAGAACGCTTTTATGTGACTTTGTTATTTGTGTTACAGCAAAACAAGCGTGATATCAGTTCAGGGCAACATGGATGTCTAAAGATATGTATGACGCTGTTAAACGAGAAATTTCGCCGAAACCAACGTTTTGACAAAGCCGAGTTGTATTTATAAGTGTACTCTACGACTGCGTGGTTAAGGTTTATAAATAAACAGAACGATTAAACGGAGCTTAGATCACTCTCATATATGAGCTGAAGGAAGAACGTAGCAATCCAGAAGCATTCGCCAAAAGAGCGTGAAGTTCACCCTTCTGAAAACTCAAAATTACGCCGGATTCGATACAAATTGTTATACCACACAACTAATGCAAAATGGAGAGATTAAATCATCAGTGAACAGGCGAGCTTCGTGGATGACGACGGCAATGATGGCGGTGGTTGTGGTCACCGTTTATGGCGCTCGTATCTACAAAAGGGTATCGGCGAAAAACCATGCGGCAGGAGGCAGCTCACAAGATTCTCCCGCTACGACAAATAGAGAGTTCAAAACAAAAACAACAATATCGTATAAAACAATTTTATGATATTGTTTGATATTTGATATTTGTTTGATATTGTGATATTTTATGATATTGTATTTTATGATATTGCCCCGCTGAATTCATCATCCCTAATGTCTACAGACATTGTTCACGTCTCCCGACTTAAACTCTACCACTCGGCAACATCATAGAAAGCACCGAGACGGTGCTTCTGCACCCGGGGGTCACGTTACGAGACTACATCACGCTGAAGAATCAAGACAGACAGCGAGAAAGACGACGTGATTCTGGGATGTGGGGCACGCTCTGGCTTGCCATCTCGGCTTAGGCTTGGCGAAATATATCTTAGCTGTAACCTCGTTTCTCGGTGTACCCTCCCGTAACAGTATAGTCAGCAGTTACATTGATTGACCGATTTGCATGAAAGAGTCGGCTAAACAGACACCATATCCGGCTGCAACGATCGTAACATGGCTAATGACAATGATAAATATTACGCCTCTATCATACTGAAATACGACTTCAGTGCGCATATATATATATATATATATATATATATATATATATATATATATATATATATATATATATATATATATATATATATATATATATATAAGGGAAAGAAGTGTATACCTAAGGGCTCGTTTTTCCGTGTTTTAACACAATATTAATGAGATATAACAGACAGTAATGCCAAGGAATGTACAGGGGAAGTTATTAAAACCAATGGAATGTAAATAAGAAGAAAGAAAAGTGGATGAAAAATTGAAAAATTTGCCAACTGTGAGCAGGAATCGAACCTACGACCTTCGAATTACGCGTTCGATGCTCTATATATATATATATATATATATATATATATATATATATATATATATATATATATATATATATATATATATATATATATATATATATATATATATATTGGCTTAGAGATTTTATCTCTGCCCCGCCGCGGTGGTCTAGTGGCTAAGGTACTCGGCTGCTGACCCGCAGGGCGCGGGTTCGAATCCCGGCTGCGGCGGCTGCATTTCCGATGGAGGCGGAAATGTTGTAGGCCCGTGTGCTCAGATTTGGGTGCACGTTAAAGAACCCCAGGTGGTCTAAATTTCCGGAGCCCTCCACTACGGCGTCTCTCATAATCATATAGTGGTTTTGGGACGTTAAACCCCACATATCAATCAGAGATTTTATCTCTGCCTTTTCTGAATGCAAAATAACAAAAAAAGTTGCTGCTGTTAAGATGTGCAGGTTTTCGCCATGCAATAAAGGGTTAAATATATATGTCCAAATATGCCCAGAAATCATAAGGTATAATAGAAATCAGCCATTTCCTCACTGGCAATCACAATTACCTTTATACAGGCAAGTTGTCTTCAGCGCGCGAACGTAGGAAAAAAGGGCCGACTAGACAGACGCCAACTAGCCGAAGCTTCCAGACTCATAATTAACTTTTTTTTTCTGTGGCGGCAG